CGGAGAGTTCTTGTCTTCTCCTCTTCTGTCCTGGCTCTGCTGGGTGCTAAGGACCTGGGAGAGTGTGTGCTCCCCCAGGCAATCACGTGACAGGCGCTCTGCAGTTTGAACAGCCCCTGGAGTGGGACGCTGAGGGGGAGATGTGCCTACTGCAGGTACAACTAGAAGGGGTGGGCTTTTCCAACGTCCTGAGCAGCTTAGGGCTGGAAACAGAGAGGGCCTGTTCCCAGGATCCCCATTTTTCACTCCTGACACTATAGCTCAGTACATATTATTATTATCATTATTATTATTATTTAATCTTCTGTTTTATGAGACAGGGTCTCACTGCGTAGCCGTGCCTGGCTGTGAACTGGCAGTAGATACCCCTGCTCCTGCCTCCCAGAGTGCTTTCCCCTCTGACCGAGGCCTGGCAGGACCGATGCTTTCTAAGAAGTGGGGATTTTTCTCCCCTCCATGCAATCCCTGGGGTCAACCTGTGTGAGCACATGGTGAGGATGAGGAGGAACTGTCTGTGAGGCAGGCTAGGCCAGCAGAGCCTGTCCACGCTGTGCCCTGATCTCTGGGTAAGGAGGTAAGTATCTCATCTGAGGCCTCACAATGCGGTGTTTGTTACTCTGCGCTGAGGGAGACGGGAGCTCCAGTCTGGCTTTTTTTTCCACATGGTCCTCTTAGGTTCTTAGAGAAGCAGGGACCTAGGTGCAGATCAAGCAGCGTTAGAACCCTTCTTCTTAGGTGCTTCTTGTCCTGTTCTGAACTCCAAGTCTTCAGACTCCTCAACCGCTCACATTCCTCCCAGCCAGGGGCTCAGATCCCATCTCTTGCCCCACGGCCATATTTCTAAAGCCCAGATCTGACCAATTACTCTTGGCAGAGGGGCCCTTTGATGTGTCCCCGTTACCTCTAGGGTGAAGTCCAAGTGCGTTATTGTTGATGACTGCATTGCACAACCTGTTGAACAGGACACAGTGGTCCTGAGGCTAACCTCTTTTTGGCCTGCATGGACGTCAGTGTGCACATGTATGCCAGGTGCCTTTGGGGGCCGGAAGAGGGTGTCAGATGCCCTGGAACTGAGGCTACACACGGCTGTAAGCTTCCACGTGGATGCTGGGAATAAAAGTTGAATCTTCTGCAAGAGTAGCCAGTGCTCACCAGGCAGTGGTGTCACTCGCCTTTAGTCCAAGAGCTCGGGAGGCCGAGGCAGGCAGATCTCTGAGTTTGAGGCCAGCCTGGTCTACAGAGTGAGTTCCAGGACAGCCAGGTCTACACAGAGAAACCCTGCCTTGAAAACAAACAAAAAACCTCACCTCCCCCCCAAAAAAAAGAATTGCCAGTGCTTTTTTTTTTTAGACAGGATTTCTCTGTGTAGCCTTGGCTGTCCTGGACTCAGTTTGTAGACCAGGCTAGCCTTGAACTCAGGAGTGCTGGGATCACAGGCGTGCGCCACCACACCCGGCTTGCTGAGCCAATCTTTAAAAAAAAAAAAAAAAAAAAAAAAAAATCACTTCCTAGACAGTCTTGACCAGGCATCGAAGGTCCTGATGGCCCTGAGCTTCTTTTTCATATTTCACATGCTCCCTGGGGAACTTCATATGTAGCCGCATGGAACATAACACACCTTTTCCTATCCCTGGGCTTCATGTACACATTTCTTTACCCGCCTAAGAATGCTGGAGAGGTAAGACTGGCATGGACCAGAAATGCCTGCTGCTTACCAGGGAGGTGACCCCCACGCTTCCGTTTCCTAATCTGAAGAGTGAGATCAAACATAAGTTTCACTCCTCATTTCGATGAACGCATAGAAGCCCTTCTGGTAAAAGGCGGCTTTTCACAGCTGGCCGTGGTGGCTCATGCCTTGAATCCTAGCACTCGGAAGGCCGAGGCCGGAAGATTAACATGCGCTTCAGACCATCCTGGGCAATGGCCTGAGAACCTGTCTCCATAACAAATGCAAAACTGGGCTGGAGAGATGGCTCAGAGGTCAAGAGAGTTGCCTGCTCTTCCAGAGGTCCTGAGTTCAATTCCCAGCAACCACATGGTGGCTCACAACCATCTATAATGAGATCTGGTGCCTTCTTCTGGCATCCAGGCAGAACACTGTATACATAATAAATAAATTAAAAAAAAAAAAAGAAATGCAAAACTGAAACAACAGCGGGGCTGGAGACATGGCTGAGTGGGTAAAACCTTCCCTGTGCAATACTGACAATTAGAATTTGGACCCCCCCCCAAGACCCCAGTAAAGCCTGATGCGTCAGTTCACATGTGTAATCCCAGCATGCCTGTAGGGGGATGGGAAAGAGACAGGAGAGCCTCCAGAAACCCGTGGGCAGCTGGCCCGACGTACACAGCAGTGCCTAACGAGTAGAAGGCGGGACCGGTACCTTATGTTGTCCTCCGACCTCCACACATACTATAGCATGTATATACATACACACACACACGCATTCACATAAAACACATACCCATTAAAGACAGCGTGCACACACACACACACACACACACACACACACACACACAATCCACTACCATGAGGGCTGGAGAGACAGCTCAGTGGCTAAGGGCACCTGGCTCTTCTTCAAGAGAACCTGGGTTCCGTTTCCAGCACTACACAGTGGCTCACAACTGTCTGTGACTCCGTGGGAGTCCCAACACTCTCTCCTTGCCTCTACGCCCATAGTGTGCACAGATACGTTACTCTCCGCTCTGTTGGGTCCCCTTCTCCGCTCAGGACTCACTGGAGAGACAGCTCTGAATGCTCAGGAACCAGCTACAGGTGCAAAGAAATCCCCTGAGGCGCACAGGGAGGTGTGGAGTGTGGAGGACTCTCCCACTCAGCCTAGAACTGGGCGCTACTAACTGGGAAAACTTTGCTGTTATCCTGCAGAGCCCAGGGGTGCGACAGAGCTCCGTCTCGTGCTAGGAGGCTTGCTCTGGGTCTGTAACACTAGCCCAGCACCCCCCAGTCTGACTTGCTGTACCTGAACTGAAATCATAATCCCTCAAGTCCGACCTTGGCCAAGGTTAATGATGCTCCGTAGGCTGATGGGAGGAGGGGGCAGACATTTGCTCCGCACTGAGTGACAGCGGGCTCCTCCCGTGAGCTTCTCCTTGCCACGGAATGGTCTAAGAAGGCAGGCAGTTTTTGCAAGGGCTGGCTGGGTGTGGGAAGGAAAGGCCTAGCTTCTTTAACCAGCCTGGGGAAGCTGCCTCTTTGAATTCTTGACTCTCTGCTGCCCCCTTGTGTGTGTAAGGCTGGTGATGCCACATAGTTGGTGTGTGTGTGTGTTTTGGGACTGAGGATCTAGCAGAGAGATACACTTGTATCCATACTATAGCAACTGGGTCTCTCCTCCCCCCATCTACCACATGTGGGTTATGTGAGCAACCTCAGGCAGCTGTGATGCCTGCTCTGGGACACTTGCGTACTAAGAAATTGAGAATAAAGGTGGGGGTGGTATTCATTTACAGGGGGTAGGGAAGGATTAGACATGAAGAATGTGAGTACTGCTGAGTCTTTTCTCATCTGATGGGGACAAGGGCCTTCTACTAAGCGAGCCAAACAGCCAGAGCCACAGCCATTAGAATCCCGGGCCAACATCGCACAATAACTGATGAAAAGCTAGACAAGAGTCCGCGCTTGTGACTGCAGAGCCCAGGGAATCTTTCTATTATGCTCTTGGGAGAGAGATCCCAAGACCTTGGCAAATTATACCTACAAAAAAAAAAAATAATAATAATAATCAAAGGAATCAGGAAAGTTCCAGCAAGGGGCTAGGAGCTGATCAAACTGTAACAGCTAGATCTCAGGATGGGAGAACATTTTGAATACTGCGTCAGAGAAAGGCCACGGCGACAGAACCTTGATCGAAAAGCGGAAGCCGCAGGGGTATGAAAACTCACTCCTGTTCTGCCCTCAGCCCTGACTCTGACAACATTCGGGCAGGCTGCATTTGACGGGTCCCCCCAAAGCAACCTGAAGTGGGTTGTTATAGGGTGCCTGGGCCATGCCTGCCAGGTCTGCTCTGGCTGCGGCCCTCGGGCCAGTCTCCATCAAAGACTTTGGACCTTGCAGGCTCCGGTTTGTGTTACCCTCTTCTCATAGGAGCTTTTCTTGGAGGGGTGCCCCCAGGCCTGCGTTGGAGCGTGGTCTCTGCAGGTAAAGGCGTTGATGCTCGTCAGCTGATGGAGAACTTTGAAAACTTTAAACCTCTGTGTGTATGTGTGTGTGCATGCCTGCGCTCGCCCGCCCATGTGTCTGTCTGTCTCTTTCCACAGGGTCTTATGTAGCTTAGACTGCCCTAAACTCATTCTGTAGGTAAGAATGACCCTGAGCTTCTGATCTTCCTGCTTCCTCTGGGCTGGGATTACAGGCATTCACCACTGTGCGTTCTTTGTGGGGGTTGGTGACCAAACTCAGCCCTCTTTCATGTTGGGCAAACACTCTACCAACTGATCTACAAACATCCTCAGCCCCCAAACCTTTAAGTCTCTTGAAAAAGAGTCCTGGCATTGGATCCAAAAGGCCCTCGTCAAATTGAGGAAAGCAACAAGTGTGGGGGAAATCGAGTCTGTCCCCAAACAGCACAAATCATCATCAGGTTCCGGCCAGGAAATCTGTGGGTTCTGAGCGAGCACCTGCTGTTGGCTACAAGGCAGGGGTCACAGGTCTCTGGGGCACAACCTGCATGTAGGGAATGTTCAGGCTAACGAAGCAGGTGCTTGTTTTTACGCAGGGAGTCTTGGATGTGGGCGGGCTTCGGGAGCATGGAGGAACACAGATTCCCAGCCGAGTCTCCAAGGAGCAGCTGTCCCGTGGATGGGCCTCTTCTTGTAACAGAAGAGACTGAGGCCCAAGAGTCAGGTGACAGTGACCGCTGAGTGTTCAAAGGCTTCAGCCTGACCAATCCTCGGGTCCAACAGACAGGCCTGTCAATGTGGCCACCGTTCCGTGTCCGGGGCAATCCCCTTGAGATGTCAGGCGGGCGGCTCCCTCCTTCCTACATCCTTTCTGTGTCCTGGAGCAGAGCAGTCACTAGGCTGATGACCTGGGAAGCCGGCTGGACCGCGTCATACTCCGCAAAGAGGTGGCACACGTTCTCTTGTGTCTCTGTCTGGCTCTTGGCCACAAACCCAAAGATCCTGGTGAGAGAAGGCAGTCTGTGGGGAATGCGGGCTGGAGAGGCGTCACGCTGAGGGGAGGACACTCAGCCTGAGCCTAGCCGCCTTTCCCTAAGCCAAGTGACTTCAGGATCTTGTGTCTTGTGTTGTGTGTGTGGTACGAGCACTTGGGGACCTGCTTCTCTGAACCTCCCCAGTGCTGCGGTTATAGACACAGCACATCTGGCTTTCTGCATGGGTTCTGGGGACCTCATGTCCTCCCGTGAGTGGCAAGCACTGCACTCGCTGAATCACCTCCCCAGCGCTTTCAGCACCCCCTTTACAATGGGGCAGCTAAAGGAAGATGGTGCCTCTCCTGTCAGACTGGGAAATTATTTGTTTCGGACTCTGGGACTCTTTCGGGTCTCCTGAAGACAGGACTTGGAGGCTCCATTAGGGCAAGGATGTACTTGGCCTTCATCTCCATAGCTCTGAGATACAACTGGTGCCTCTGGCCTGACACCTAGGCCTCCAGACTAGGGAATCTCTTAAGTGCTATTCCACGCTGGCTCCTAAGATCGAGATGGGGGCTGCAGAGATGGCTCAGCAGTTAAGAGCACTGGCTGCTCTTCCAGAGGTCCTGAGTTCAATTCCCAGCAACCACATGGTGGCTCCTAACCATCTATAATGGAATCTGATGAGTGTTCATATATATAAAATAAATCTTTAGCTGGGTGTGGTGGTTGCACGCCTGTAATCCCAGGACTCTGGGAGGCTGAGGCATGTGGATCTCTGTGAGTTCGAGGCCAGCCTGGTCTACAAAGTTGAGTACAGGACAACCCTATCTCAAAAAAAAAAAGATCAAGATGGAAACCCCTTTCTTTTCATCCATCTATTCTTCCTTCCTTCTTTTCTTGAGATAGAGTCTCACCATGCACCCCTAGCTAGCTAGCCTTGAACTGACCACATAGACAAGGCTGGCCTCGAACTAACTATATAAACCAAGCCAGCCTCAAACTTAGCCTCAAACTCCTGCCTCTGCCTCCTGAATGCTGGGATTACAGGTGTATACTACCGTACCTGGGCCTCCCGCCTTCTGCTGGGTCTGGGGGTCCTGGCACAGGGCTGCCTCTTAGAACTACTGAGTTTTTGGGAAGAGCTTACCTTGAAGGCTTGCAGTACTTTTGCCACCTGAAAGAAAGGGACATTGCAGGAGTGAGTGAGTGAATGATGGGGCTCTGATCCGCTCCTCAGGATCCCTGATGAAACAGTGGGAGCCGTGTCTCCACCTCTGCCATGCCCCCCCTGGCCTGACCCCTGACCACCCCCCCACCCCCCACCCGTGTTCACAGGGCTGTCTCCGAGTCAGCAACTACTGTGGAGGGCTGTTAGGCCTGGAGCGGCTTTCTTGGCTTGGCTCAGCCGTGAACTTACTTCCGCTGCTCAGGGTCCATTCCACAGAAGCGGAGGGTGGCGAGTGGATAGTGTCGTCGGAAAAACACCCTGAGTGGATGCAGAGAGAAAAGCCAGGCTGGTGAGGGCCTGTTCCTACACCATGGCCCCATGTCAGCATTTCAGCTTCTCCCAAAGCTCACGTGTCCCGTCTTAGTAGGATTCTTATGACCCGTGAGGCTTTCTCCATGCTGGGACTGGGCACACGGGCTGTGTCCTTCTCCTCCCATGAAATACATCTGCCTGATGCTCTGAAATTAGGCTCCACCACCCACCCCCACGTCCTTCACTTTTTGAGTCTAGGAGTTTCATCTTGGCCTGCTCTTGCCCTCCTGGTTAAATTAGGGAAGGCTCTGGCTGGACTGAGTCTCCAAGCCCCAGGAACGGGTGAGCTCTGTGTGAGGAGTCATTAGTGTCTGGTCCACACTGCAACGTGATCAGCATCCAAGCATCCAATGAAAACTGCCTAACTTCATTCCTGTTGGTCCCGATGAGGGAGGCCGAGGGAAGGCAGGGAGCTTGTCTGGCATCACCCAGCACTGATTTATCAGCCCTTTTTAATTCAGGGCGCTGACCTTTGGTCCTCCTCCTTCCTTCCAGCCCTGCTCTGTTAGCCTCGTGGCCCAGGGGCTAGAAGAGGCCCTTACTTCCTTTGGATGTCTGTCAGAGTGATGCCCTGTTCCGTGACTTTGAAGTGGACGACAGTAGGTGTGGGGAGGACCTCCCTCTCCAAGGTGACGGAGATGGCCTTCTGCACAGCCAGGCCTCCACTCAGGGTCTCCACGCTCACAGAGCTCAGGTACAGCGTGTGGCAACCTGTGGGATACAGATAGCGAGCCAGCTGTGTCGCCAGGGTCTTACAGTGTATGCGTGGATGACTAGGCTCAGGTCCTCCCTACGCCCGCCCGGGGTTAGGAACAGGCAGGAGGGGATGCCTTTCTCCTTCAGGAATCTAGTGGGACCCTGTTAGAGCCACCAAATGAGACTTGGAAGGACAAGGGGGACCAAAACTTCTTTTCCTCTCCCTGTGGCTGCACCACCGCCTTCGGGAGAAGGGGGAGAGAAGGAAAGAAGAGGAGGAGGGGAGCCTTTGTGCGCAGAGTCGGAGCTGTCATTGAGTACTGATGGACGCTTTGGCCTCTGGAAGTGAGGGGGGAATTCCTCTTGTACCATTGAAACCCTTTACGATTCAGACCTCATCCCCCCCAGAGGAACAGGACCTGGAGGCCACCCCCAGGGCAGGAATCTCAAACACAGAGAGACCCTAGTACAGATATATGTACAGTATGTGCAAGGTGTCGGCTTACCAGCACCCCCAACCCAGTCCTCCTCCCTCCCCGCCGGTTTATGGGGCCGAGGCGGGGTGCATCGGATTGTTAAAGCTGCAGAAACAAAGCAGTAATGGGAAGCATGTGTGGGCCTGTGTGTGTCTGCGCGTGTGCTGTGCGAGCCTCGTGAACGTGTGTGTCTGTAGGGCCGGGAGGCGGTTTTGGGGGGGAGGGGAGTGCCGTGAGCCGGCGCCTCCCCTAGTCACTCACCAGCCGATATCTTCAGGCAAGAGGTCTGGCTGTGTGTGGGAGAGTCCGCCGAAGGTTCTGCGCCTCCCAGTTCTGAGAGGAGGCCAAGGAACATGCCCCGGGGGAGAGGATAGAGTGAGTGGACCCCCTCTCCAGGGTGCAGCCCTCAAGAATCCCTTTGAACACTTCCCACAGCCGCCCCGCCCCCACCTCCAGGGGGTGACAGGTTGGAAAGCGGCTCAATTAGGGAAATGAGGACCACTTTGCCTAGCCTTCGAGCCTTTTGATCCCTTCCTATCTCTACCCGCCCCACACTCCCATGTCTTGGCCTGCTGCTCTGACCTTGTCCTCACAGGCCACGGAGCTCTTCTTTCGGACCCCACCCCCACCCCCAGGCTCTTCTTTTGCCGTCTCCTTCATTTGTTTATCGCTCTTCCTGGCCCCACCTTCACTCTTGCACAACCTGAGATGACCCCCTAGGTCTGGGAGCTCCTGGGTTGCATGCTGTGGATGAGGCTACTGACCTCTGCTAAGGGTTGACTGTGGGCCCCGGGCAGCAGCTACTTAAGCCCAGACCTCATTTATTTTTTTCTCCTTGTTTTTAGCAGTATTCCTCCCCAACTCCCAAGACTGGGTTGCTCTGTGTAACTCTGGCTGTCCTGGAACTCGCTCAGTAGACCAGGCTGGCCTCAAACTCAGAGATCTGCCTGCCTCCGCCTTCCAAGTGCTGGGATTATAGGCAAAGGCCATGGCCTCATTTCTTGCCTATGAAATGGAGCTTTAGGCACTATAGAGGTGGTGGCAGTGGTGTGTGTAGGGGAAATAATGTCAGACTCGTTCATCAGCTGTTGGATTTAGGCTCTTCTATCCTTTCAAAGAAGGCTGCCGACTCTAAGGCGGTGCTTCTCAACCTTCCTAACGCTGCGACCCTTTAGTACAGTTCCTCAAGCTGTGGTGATCCCCCCAACCATAAAATTATTTTTGTTGGCACTTCATAACTGTAACTTTGCTGCTGTTATGAATTGCAAACATCTGATATGCCACCCCTGTGAAAGAGTGGATCACTCCTCAAAGGAGTCGTGACCCACAGGTTGAGAAACCACTGCTCTAAGGTTTTGTTTGTTTGTTTTTTTCCTGACCCAGCCACCACCGACCTTTCTGTGGGATGACGAGTTTGCAGGGCAGGGCCAGGGCCATGATGGAGTGTTGGCACACGAAGGCGGAGAGGCTTCCTGCAAGGGAGCAGTTGGGTCTGAGTGGCGGGGCTTTGCCAGCCCCCTTGGCAGAGCAGGAGACCAAGCCTCGGAAGGCCTGGAGGTTGCTGGAGCCCGGGGAGGCTTACCAAAGTAGGGTTCCTCATCCGCTCCTTTCAGATGCACCCCTTTGGCTGAAGACTCGACCAGGAAGTGACGGATAAGGTCATTGCTGTCCTCACCTTGACAAAGAAAAAGGACTTGTGTTTCAGAGCCCGGGTTTGGCAAGACCACAGCCTGCTTGGCCCCGCCCTCTTCTTCCAGGACTATCCTGCAAATGCGGTGACTGTAACCCACACTAGGCAATCTCTCGGCCTCTGAACCAAACCCCCAAACCCTTGCTTGGAACGCAAGGTTGGGTCCTCCATCCTCCTTCTATATCTTAACTCCTCACAGGTCCTTCAGTCCCTGAGGCTCATTCCCAATTGGGTTTAAGCGAGGGCACTATTAAGCCTCGTGAGGGACCTTGTAGTACTCTCATTATGTGTTCTCATCAGCAATCGGATACTTTCTGTGTGGGAGTCCTCAACACGCCTGGTTCTTTACACAGGGTTGGGTACATGGTAGACCTGCTCAGATGTGTGCTCAATTATCAGATGAACACGTGAGGTCACAGGAGAGCAAACAAGCTATCACACACACGTGTGATAAGCTCTCTCACACAGGATGAGCTAGTGAACACGGGATAAGTTATTACAGGAATGATAAGCTATCAGGAGCATGATAAGCCCACACATATGTGAGTCCCATATTAGGTTCCCAGGCTAGACAGAGGTACCCAGAAGACAGGTTGGGACCTTCTCTGCCCTTCTTCAAGGGTGGAACAAGGAATCCGGGAAAGCAGGGGCTTTCAGAGATGTTCTCCACGGTACGTACCTGGTCGGCTTGAGGCAGATGCCGGCATCTCCTCTACCTTCAGGGCAAGACCGAAAGAGCCTCGGTAGGAGGAACTGTCCCTGATGACGAAAGCCCCCGGCTTCTCCTTCCTCAGCAGATCAATTGCTGGAACAGTCTTCAGTTAGAGGCCGACCCAGTCTACACGGACACTCTTTATTCCCATCCCCATTCGGTCCTCACAGAGAAGTCACACAACCGTCTGTCCCCAGGAAGTCCTTTCTCCCGTCTACTTTCTGCATGTCTTGCTCATTTCCTATCGAGGCTGCCAGGTCACCCACCCTTCCTCCGGCTGCTCGGTGCCCACCTCCTTTATTACCACGACCCAGGGCCCCATCGCTTGTCCCCTGGAAGGCGGAGCTGCCTTTACCTTGCTCTCGGGTGATGCTTGGCTTAAACCAGTATTTTGATGTATCCATCACAAATTTCATGGTGGGCTGCACCTCCTTGGCAGGACCTGGAGACGGAGAGAAGGGGCGCTGTGTGGGCTGATAGAGGGTTGCTGAGAGGCATCCAGAGAGAACGTTGGAGACCTGCCCTGCCCCTCTTCCCAGGGATCCCTGTCTACTCATCCTTCCGGAGCTCATCTCCAGGGTCTCTCCAAAGAGCCTAAAGAAGAAAACCCAACTGGGACTGTAGCTCAGTGGGCAGAGGGCTTATCCCTCATGCATGAGGCCCTGGGTTTGACATAAAACCAGGAGTGGCGAGTGGCGGTGCATGGCTGTAGTCCCAGCTGGTTGGGAAGCGGAGGCAGGAGGACTGCACTGAGTACAAAGCCAGCCTGGCCACAGCACGAGACCCTGTCACCAAGGCCGGAAACAGTGCTGGCGAGAGGGCTCAGTGAGGGATAGCTCTGTCATGCAGGCCTGACAACCCGAGTTGGATCCCCTGAACCTGTGTAAAGGTGCAGAGAGAGAACCGCCCACTTTTTATAAGTTGTTCTTTGACCTCCACGTGTGCCCTATGGCATGTGTGGCCCCTCCCCACAACAATAATGATAAAGTTTATTGTTGTTGTTTTAAAGGCATGGCTGAGGCTGTGTTGCTTTTGTGGTGTCCTGTTTGTGTTGCTTTCGTGGGAGGGTGCCTTGGGCTACAGGGAGCAGCTCACTTATGTGGGAGCCATCTTGGGAAGCCCAAGGCAGAGCCAGGCTTGCAGATGGCTGAGGGAGGAGAGTCTCTGCTTAGGTGTGCACCCAGAGGATGCTGGACTCAGCCTGTTTCCCGCTTCCGATTTTTTTGGATGTCTAGTCACAGGCTCCGGGAAGGAGGGTGTTTGCTGTTTTGTGGTTTTTCAGCCATCTGCGTTGGAATTTGGAATGCATTGTCTCCATTCCCTGTTTGGCTCATCGACATTCTCGTCACCCGTGAACGTCAGAGGGAGGACTGACGCGCCCTCTGGCCCTCCTTGGATTAGCCGGTTAGTCACCAAGCCTCTTGTGCAGACAAGGCTTGCCTGGCTCTGTCTTCTCCTCTTCACCCTAACTGCCCAGCCCTGGTTCTAGCCCCGCAACCCTTCTGCCAGGGTAAATCATTCCGTCTGCACTGCTCATCATGCATCGTCTTCCCTGCTTTGCTTCCTGATGGCCCTTTACCGTCCAAAGAGTGAGACCCACCTTTTAGCTTGACGTGAAGTGCCCCACACAATCTGCCGCTCTTCTCAGTGGCCTGCGCCGAACATTCCAGGAGTTTCCTTACTGTGCTGTGCCCTAACTAACACTGCCCGAGCTATTGAGATCCCGGTTGTCTCTGCAAGGAATGCCTTTTCTCCCTTCCTCTGGCTGCTGACCAGCTCAGATGTCACACCATCCATTCTCCAGGCTGGCTGCCTTTCCTCTGTCACCTATGAAGCGACGAGGACTCGATTCTATGGCAAACCTTGGTTTGGGCCACTCTTTCTAGATTATGCCCATCTGTGTGTCCTCACGGCCTGGCACAATGCTTGGCATACAGTGTGTAGTCAATGAAAGTGTTAAGTGGCTGTTGCCAACCTGCCCCCCCCCCCCCCCCCCCGGACCTTGACAAGTCCCCTTAACTAAACCCCTCCAGTGCTGCAGGTGCTGAATCACAACATACCCTCTGGAGATGCAGGGAGAGGAACATCTGGCAGAGTCTGGCTGTGGCTCTTGGTGACCTGATGTGGGGGACTGGGAGATACAGCCCTGGGCTGGACAGAGCCCTGATGTCCTGGTATCCGCTGGGCTGGGGAAGACTGTGGTTCTGGGCATCCATTGATGAGCACTATGGGTAGGTCCACCATGGAGTTGGTGACAGATGGTGGGCAGCTACTGGCCTGCTCCTTGGCCACCGGAGGAGACTGGACTGCTTGGGGCTGGCCCGGGCCCACTATGGGGTTGCTGGGAACCTGGGCATCACTGGGTCTCACACACTGGGACCCTCGGTCCAGGCTGTGGAGGCTGGAAGAGGAGCTGGCTGGACTTCCCAAGGATCTAGAAGATGACTGATAGCTGGAGAGACTTGAGTGGAGGAGGGATTGATTGCTGTAGGAAAAAAGTACACAGAGTATTAGGGTGTTAGCTGTGGTGACTTGGGGGCCAGAGCTAGGTTCTGGAATCTAGCCATCTGGGGGCCCTATCTGGGGTATCTTGCATATTTCCTTAGCCCAAACCCAGAGCAAAGAGTATTCCCACCTGGGTTCTAAGGTCTGCAGTAGGGTACAGAAGCTACTGAGGACTACTGGATCTTCTGTCGTTTAAACCAGACAGTGGGATTAACCTCCAGCAGGTTAAACCTGGCCTGGGACTTCTCTGCTTTTCTCTGCTTTCCCAACCATCACAGAGAAAGGATATCCCCTACCATCACTCCCAAGAGCCCTTCAGAGGGGCTGCTGCCCTTGGGCTGGACATGTCTGTGACTAGAGGAGGTCATCTCCACTAGGCCAGCAAGGATGGTAGTGGGATCCCTGGCTCCTGTGCCAGGGACTGTCTCCGCCATTGCCTTTGGAGTTGGTATGTGGGGTTGGGGTCCTGTGGTTTAGCTGTTACGCAATTCTACCGTGAGGCCTAAGAACAGTGGCCTAGGATCATTATTAATAAAGCCTAGAGGATTGGCCCCTCCTACTAAGCTTTTGCTGGTGGGCATAGGCAGCGGGAAGGCCTTCATTCCTAGGTGTTTCATCTCAGGCTGCCAAGTCTGTGTACACCTCTGAGATGGAACTTTATTTTATGCGTGTGCATGTCGTGCCTGGTTGCCCTTCTGTGGACAGAGTGTGTGCAGTGTGCCTGGAGGTCAGAGGAGAGCACCGGATCTCCTGGAACCAGAGTCATAGATGGTTGCCAGCTGCCATGTGGGTGCTGGGAACTGAGCCTGGGTCCTATGCTTGAGCAGGAATGCTCATAACCATTGAGCTACCTCTCCAGCTCCCGTCCCTGAGTTTCAACAGTCCTTCCTCCAGGTGGGTCATGTGAGGACTGGAGAGAAAATAGGTGAGTCTCATTAAACTGGCACTCTATTTTCAAAAGGTCAATGGAAGCCAAGACTTTTAGCAGACTGAATTGTGTTCAAAATGCTTTGAGAAAGAAATGGCTTCGATGGGAGAAAAGACAATGTGTATTCTTTTTCTCTTGATGCCCAGGCATTTTACTAACAGAACAGGGTGCCCTCCTGTTTAGTGTGTGTGTGTGTGTGTGTGTGTGTGTGTGTGTGTGTGTGTGTTCACATGTGTGCCGCCATGCACGCAAGGTCATGGACACAGAACTTACCTTCCAAAAACATAGCTGACATCTGACACGGGGCTGACCGACAGCATAGAGACCCTGCTGCCCCGCTGTGGGGCCCTTGGCCCTTTCTCCCAAGCTGGAGGAGTTGCCAGTGGGGAGCCTGAGGCCCTGCTTTCCTGGTAAGGGATGGAGTTGCTAAGGGAAAGTGGGATGTGGGGAGAGGGACCCCTGCCCTGGTTCCCAGAGAAGATGAGGCTCTCGTTGCTGCTCCGAGTCTCTCGGGGGATGTCTCTGGAGAGAAGGAGGCCACCACTGCGTGGGGAGCCGAAGGGTGGGGTGACACATGGGCTGGAGCAGTGTTGGGGGCCGTCGAGGCATCTTGATCTGGCGGAGGTCACTTCGATGTACTTTATATCTTTTTGTGGGGGGAGGGAGAGAGAGAAAGCACTGGTGAAACCCAGGAGCCAGAGAGAACTGGTGCTTCCTCTCCAGTCCCAGGGTGGAGCACTGTCTGGCAAAGGTGGTGGAAACTGGGGGTGCACTGGCTGTCCCCCTTCTAGCAGGTCATGAGTCCTTTCCATGGCTTCCCAGGATGGAAACTAGGGTAGGGCCCTGGAGAGCACTCAGTTTACTAAAAACAGCTCATTCCTCCGCTATCCAAAACTGTGGAGCCCAGCCTTCCCTGAGTGCTCGTGCTTCCTTTCCCCAGCCTGTGGTGCCTGAGCCCTGGGTCCCGGGTGGAAGTGGGCATTCTGTCAGGCACGCGGGGCTGGGCTGACTTGAGCTTGCTGGAAACAGCCTGGCTCTGCAGCCACACGAACTTGGGTGTGCATCCTGACGTCATTACTTTCTAGCCAGGAGGCATTGAGTAACTTTCCAGACCTCTCTTGGCCTCAGTTTCCTTATCTGCAAAGCAGTGATCTAGACCCAGCCTTCTAGGGTGATGCTGAGGAGCAAACACAGGATGAATGGAGCCTGGCTTATGGCAGGCCCAAGGGGAGCCCCTCCCCTCCTCCCCGCTCACAGTAGGCATCTTCGGCTTAAGAGGGTGAGATAGCGGAGATGGTTTGGGGAACTACACAGCATGCTCTGAGAGAGGTCTGAGAGTGAGGTAGACTCTTCCAGGAAGCTGGCAAGCACAGTTTCTTTCACACACACACACACACACACACACACACACACACACACACACACAAATCTTTTGAGACACAATCTAGCCCCAAACTCCTTAAGTAGCCCAGGATAGCCTTGAACCTCGGATAATTGCATTTCTGTTTCCTTAGGTCTATGCCATCACATCTAGTACCTGGACCTGGAGTACTGAGGATAGAACTCAGGCTTTATGCATGCTCTTTACTAAGCAGCATCCCTAGCCCCAAAGTCTATTTTTTAAAACAATTATTTGTTTTTGTTTTATGTGCATTGCTCTTTTGCCTGCATGTATGTCTGTGTGAGGGTGTCAGATCTTGGAGTTACTGATAGTTGTGAACTGCACCTTGGAGGCTGGGAATTGAAACCAGGGTCCTCTGGAAGAGCACTCAGTGGTGCTCTTAACTGCTGAGCCATTTCTCCAGCCCCCAACTTCTATTTTTATAAAGACTTTGTAGTGTTTATGCCCATAACCACCTCTGATGCTCAGAATGGCCCTTGGGCAGGCCAGACATTGTTTTTATTGAGGCGGCAACAGGTGATTGGAGATTAAAAGTAGGGGCAGAGTTGAGGTTTCTTGCATAACTTTTACCAAAGACAGGCAATTGCTAGCACACAACATAGCTGCTGCCTGTACTGTTACAGCAGCTCCATTCAGATGCTAGTAATCCCATGTAACAAATGAGGACCCAAGGCCCTGCTAGATTGAGTTAGTTGCCCAATGCCATACAACCAAAGGGATGGAGGAGATGCCAACTTCTGCACCTGAGCTGATAGGGGCTCTTCTAAGATGGAGAGAAACTCTTTAGGATCCCATTCCAAGACCTTCTTAGCACTTGCCTGTCCTGGTGTAGGTCTGTTGACCTGGTGAGGTTCCTGGCCCCCAAACTCACAGAGCATAAAAAGATCTGCGACCTTGTATGGGTGCTGAGCGAGGTGGGAGGGGCCCTGTGCTGTGAGTCACCCCCACCTCCCATTCCTTGTCCTGAGGTAGATGGCTGGGGAGGTGGAGGCTCCCACCCTATCCCTGGGGCGCAGCGGCTGTTTACAGGCCTATGGGGCAAGTCCCGGCAGCGTAGGGTGGATGTAGGCGCCAGCCGCAGGCCTGGCCGGTGAAGGGAGGGCACGTGGGTGGGGGGAGGAGAGACAGTTATTAAACAGCCTTGCCCTTGGGACTGGCAAACAGCCTTGCCTGGCAGAAACTGCTGGAAAAATGAAATGTGGGGACCTGATCCAAGGATGGGGTGGGAGGTCGCGGAGAGGATAAGGGAGATGGTGTTTGGGTCCAGGAGCCAGGATAGCTCCGGGATGGCGACTCTGAAGGACAAGTATAAAGAAAAGTGAACAGGAGGCAAGGAAGGGACCCTGGCCAAGTGCTGGGGGTTGGGGGCAGGGTGGGGGTGGGGTGACGCTGAGTTTGAGGAGAAGTCTGCAGGCTGCCTCTAAGCAAATTCCAGTTTGGGAAGAGAGACAGGAACATGGGCTTGGAGGATTGGAGACAGCCTGACCTGCCACTTGGTAGGGGTGACTGAGGACCATGGCTCCCTTCCTCATCCTCAGTTACCATATCTGTAAAATGAGATCACCACGATTTCTTTCAAGCACGACACAGGGACAACGCGACACAGGGGCTGACCTTCACAAAGAGAAGTGCAGGCACCCGTGTCTAGGGAGTCAAAAGAGGACAGCCAAGATGAACGATTGAATTTTACCAAGGGAGGAGAAAGAGGAATGGAGAGTCTCTGCTGGTTCCTGAGGACAGGGTCCCTCGAAGGAGGAAGGATAGAGTGGCACAGGGTGTGTGGGGAAGGAGGATGGATGGGATGGGTCTGGGTGTGTGTGTCTGGGTTGGGGGTGGGGGAGAGGGGTAAGACCCACCACTGTAGATGAATGTTAAGATGTAAGGGGTCTCACCCAGAGCTATGTGCAGGAGGGTTTGAGGTGGTGGTGGGGGCGGGGCTGAGGAGGGCATAGCAGGCCCGAGGTGCAGGCATCTGCCACTTTTGGGGAGGGAGGACCAGTTCCTGAGAGGATGCTGACCTAGTCCTTCTGTCTTCGTTGGAAGGAGTCCTTAAGTATGAGAAGCATGTGAGCAGCGTGTGTGTGTGTGTGTGTGTGTGTGTGTTTTAACCCCTACTAACAGAAGCAAGGGAGATACATATGAGTTTAGTCCAGCACTCCAGAGACCTAGGTAGGAAGTTGCCTGGTTCCTGGTTAGCCTGGGATACTTTCTTTTAAAAGAGCAAAATAGAAAAAAAGGAGGAAGGGGAGGATTCAGGGCAGAGGGCTGTCTGGGCCTTCTGGCTACTGCCAACCTTACTGTAATCCTTGTTCCCCTGAGTTGGATGGACCCTAGTGGCAGGCTGCCTGAGGACAGGGACCGTGGCCCCGCCAGCCGTTCGCTCACCATCAGCAAAGGACATGAGGTGCTGTCTATCCCACACCCCGCCCCATGCACGTGGGCTCCTAATACTCATCTTGCCCCAACTGGTCTTGGCAGGGTGGGATCCCTGCCCCCAGGCACGAACATTAAAACCCCGGGCTGGCTCCTGCCAATGGTAATTAGGTCTAAAGCGTTTCCCTGCAGTGATGTACCCATGACTGGCCTTCAGCAACAGAAAGCTGCCTGGGGGATGGGGTGGTAGAGGAGGCAGCTCCTTTAGTAGGCTTTGCAGGAAGAGGGGAAGCGCTGGAAGGCCAGGTTGCTCTGGTGGGTGCGGGAGGGCCTGGGTACTGTGCTGGCTACTCTCCCAGGGTCTAAACTGCCTGGGGCTAGCCATACAGGCTAGTCCCCCGCTCTACTGTGGCTCAGGGCACTGAACTTTCGACAAACAAGGCAGCCAACTCTTTCTTTTCCTCTCCACAGTACTCTTTGAGGTAAGAGCTCTTATTTTGTCCATTTCATAGGTGAGGAACCAAAAAGATGGAGGTGTTGTCTCATCTTGGAGGGGTAGGATAGGACTTCTGAAGATTCTATACAAGTCGGGCAGGAGGACGAGGAATTCAGAGCTATCCTGGTATGCAGCAAATGCTCAGTAAGTGGGTGTTATCCTAGATTCTATCTGTACCTCCTCATTCCTGCTGTCTGAACCCTGGAGGCCTGACCTTTCTAACCGATAGGTCTGCTGCTCTCTGACCCTCATTCTCAGGACCCACTTGGGAATTTTTTAAGCATGCGGGAACTGAATCAGTACCCAGGACTTTCCAGATCCTCTGGGACTGTGTGTGCTGGCGTCGGCTTGTACCAGCTTGTCAAAGAGCTGAAATCGGCAGGTTTCAAGATGTTGTCTAGCTGGTTGCCAAATGCCGCCATTATTAACAACCGCATTCTGCAAATTGATAGTGAAAGAACTTACACTCAAAACAAAAGCTGACTTAGGTGCAGTGTTCAAGAAGGGAGATGGGGTGTTAGGGACTAGCCTGGGATACCTACTCTTGTCTCCAAAAAACACTTTAAAGAAAATAAAAAAAAAAAAAAAAAGCAGACACTCAACATGCATACATTCCAATTGTTTTACTATTGTGTTTGCTTTGAGGTTATATGGCTATTGGGTTGGTTCAGTGAGACTAATTTTTTTTCTTTTTCTTTTCTTTTCTTTTGTAATGAAGGCAGCTTAGGTTATCACTGAGCTGCACTCTCAGCTCTTCTCCCACTTTAAAGACATTTCTTTCTTTTTCACGTTGGAGACAGGCCCTTGCTATGTAGCGCAGACTGGCCTAGAATTCAAGATCCTTCTGAGTGCCGAGATTCCAGGCTTTGTGTCACTGTACCCTCTGTTCTACAGAGCAACGGACTACTTCACTTTCAGCTGTATGCTCGGGGACATTCTGTCAGTAGCTCAGAACTGGCCAGGGTGGGAGAATTTACACCATGGAAATGGGCAGATGCCTCGAGTCAGGGCTTCTGCCTCCCAAACAGGGAGCCAGCTAGCATCCCACTTCTTGAGTTCTGGGTCTCTCTCGTCCCACTATTTCAAGCTTCGGCCTTTCCCAAGAGATGTTCCCCTAAACAGGGGTTGGGGGTCACCTAGAAATCCTACAGTAATTTCAGGGGACCAAACTTAGACTATAAAGAGAAACATCAAGAGCTTATGTAAGGCTCAGGGACTCTGTATTTAGGAAGCCCTCACTACGTAGCATCTTTACATTCTCATAAAAACCACATGAAACTGGACTCTACCAATTTCCAGACTCGGGAACCGGACGGAATTGGAGAGCGAAGGAAATCTTTATACCTTTAGTGTGGCAGAGAAATCAGAAAGGTCAGGAGTTTGTTCAGGGATGCATAGTACTCCCCATAGGACAGGGGTCCCTGTGCCTCAGATCCTGTAGAAGGACCCTTATTGGCTTGAGATCAGCCCCCCAACTTCCCTCTTTGGTTGTACCCCAAACTCTTACCTAGGGCTTCAGGTTCCTCCTTCTTATTCCTTGAGGTGATGCTGTTGGTAGGCTCAGCCTGGGCACCAGCAGTCCCAGAGGGAAGCAACTGGAAGGTGGGGTCTAGTTCTAGGATCATCTGGTTGAGGGTCTCCAGTGAGAAATCAAGGCAGGAGTCCAGGTCCTGTGAGGCCCCTGAGGCCTTCTCCCCGGGGCCTTGCAGGAGGCAGTGAGCTTTGGCTTCTGCTGGCTGGACCTGCTGGAGCCTGCCGGTGCCTCCTTTGCAGCATGTGGGCGCCGCCAGAGGCTGGGAACCCCAGCTCTCTGTGGTGTAGTAAGGACGCAGTGCCGGGAGGCCAGGGCTGGGGGTTGGGTGCAGGGCCATCCTGGATTCCTCGTGGGGAGTCAAGCTGACCACATGACCTCCAGCTAGCAGGGAGCTGGACATGATGGGGTGGGGAGCGTTGTGTCCAGTGGTTTACCTCTGGCTTCCAATCAGCCTCCCTTCTACCCTAGTGCTAGATCCTGCTCAGGAGAGCTCCAAGGACCTGAAAGAGGAGGGTGTGGGTGAAACCCCTGCATCTGCATCATCCCTAGGTGCAGGACAGACCAACCACTTTAGTTAAAGGCCCCCTTAGCCTCCTGGCTCTGACACTCACTAGCTGTGTAAGTTTGGACAAAGGAATGAACTTTTCCCTGTCTTAGTTTCCTCTTCTAAAACATGAATGAACCTTAATGATATGCTCAGAACAATGCCTGGCATATCCGCGCCTGTGCAAGGCACGGTTAAGTGACTTAAAGAGAAGGTTAGTGATCACTTACTGTGTCATGAGCGTATTTCTAAATGAATGCTGGCTGATGTTTATGAGGAACCCTCTGGTTCAGAGGCTCTGAGAGGAACACACACAGCCCTTTCAAGTCCTTATAACAACCCCATGAGGTAAGCATCACCATTATCCCCTTTTGCAATAAAAAGAATGGCTCCACGGTCACACAGGCAACCCGTGTCAGAGTGGGATTGGATCCCGGGCTCTCTGACCTCCTGTCCCCAGGCTAGTTGGTGAAATGGAGAAGCAGGCAGGCGAGCTGCTGCGAGTAATATCGCAGGAGGCTCAGGGACTTGGAGGTGATTCTGTCGAGGGTGGGGACGTCGGGGAGGACTTCATGGAGAAGTGGGAAGGGAGGAGCTAGCAGGGCAGGGCAGGTAAGAATGAGGAGGCGCAAGGATGTGTTCAAAGCACTGGTACAGCATGTGCAAGGGCCCAGGGGCCAGATGGGAGGACAGAAGTATCCAGGAAACAGAGGCGCTTGCCATGGAGGGTAGGGTGGCTAGCTAGGCTCTGCGGAGACTCAGAGACTCGAAGGCTCAGCTCAGAGCTGACAGTTCAGACCCTGAAGGTGAGAGGGAGCCACAAGAGTGTTTTTGAGCTGGGTAGTGATCTCAGGTGACAGTCACTCCCTGGGGCTCATCTGGAAGAAGATACGTCCTAGCTTCTTATCTTCTTCACTGTGAAAAGTTCTTCCTGATGTCTGACCTTGATGCCTTGGAATACTTGTTTCTCATGGAGTGGTGTTGTGGAGGACTAGTGAGAAAGCTGGGTGGAACCGGAACAGGCTGACCTCAGTCCTTCAGGCAGCCTCGAGCCCTCGATGCCTGCCTACCGAGTCAGAGCATGAAGCTACGATGTGACACATGAGAAGCCATTAGACAGTTCTGGAGTTGACTTAGAAACTGGGACTCATGGAGTATGATGCCATCATGAGGAGTTCTCAGTTACCGGGTGCCAGGCACTGGTCAACATGCCTTATACAGCTGCACCTGGTAACTGGACCTTCTCGCAGCCCGAGCCTCTGGTCTCAGCCCATTTTACCCCTGAAGATACCCAGACTCGAAAAAAGTCAAGAAAGTGCCAGGGACTGGGTATGGTACACAGACCTGTAATCCCAGCACTAAACAGGTAGAGGTGCGGGGCCAGCCTGAGTGAGTTTGAGGCCAGCCTGAAGATACAGGAGACCCTGTCTCAGTTCCCCAACCAACCAACCAACCAAATAACCAACCAAACCCCAATTAAAAAACCAGGCTGTGGCTTCATATCTGGGATTCAAATCTAGGGCCTGGGACCTTTGTAATCTTAACTCTTTCAGCCACATGGAGCTCAAAGGCAGAGGGGTCATGGAGATGGGGGGCATGATATGCCTGAGGACAGAAAGCCAGGCCGGCCTGCACAGCCCCTCACCCCACCCCCTCCTCACCCCAGGCTCCGTAGCTTTGCTGTCAGACCTCTCTGGGCTGGGACCTGGAGGGGGTTGGGGCATGCTGATGTGGAGAAGCGTATCTATAAATGGCAGTGGAAGGGAGCTGGCCTCTGAGAGCCTTCCTTGGGGGCAGCCGAGGACACGGAGGCCAGGCACAGCCCTCAGGGTTCACTGCCAGGCCTACAGAGGAAGCTGGGGACGCTGGGCACAGGAAGCCGAGTATCCCCCGTGACCAGGACTCAAAGAATGCCCACATGCTTATCCGGACGAACGCTGCTGCCTTTGTGATCCTGTGGAAAAGGGGGTTTTGGTCCCTGGGTAGATCCCCATGGTTTTATCTGTCCGATGGTGACCTGATAATAACAGACCCTCAACCCTCACCTGTTTCCAGATAGTTCTGGGGGGAGGGGAGTGCTGGCAAGGCCGGGGGACCTGCTCAGGCTTGGAGTGTGCGTCTGGGATTTCATGGTAGGTCACCTTGCCTCTAAAGGTCCTGCACGATCATCCTCTGCTCTTCCGTCACAGGTGTGTGTTAAGAGCTCTCCAACCTCGGCCCCTTTCGGGATTCTGGAACCGAATGGTCCTGAGCGTCGGGTGGAGATGCTGAGGACAGGAACCTTCTGTAGGTTGTCCTTTAACCTTCCCAGGCCCAGGCTCTGTCTGCGCCTCTGGGATGTTCTATACACTCTCTAGCTGTGCACCTCTCTAGCTGGTTCCTTTCTGCTCTGAGTCTTAGGGAGGGGTGCCTGGGCTCAGATTGTGTGTGTATGTGTGCAAATGTGTGTGTCTTAGGAAGGATTCCAGCTGGCTCTGCCCTATTTTCAGCTCCCTCCTACCTTCCCCTTTCCAGATTCTAACTCTTGGGTTTTGTTTTGTTTTGTTTTTGTTTTTCCTCTTCCCCTCCTCAGACCTCTGTAAAGGAACCCTTGTTTACCTCTTTTGACTCTTTTGACCTCTCCCCTCTTCAAGCCCAGGTAGAGAAGGCAGAGGACGAACTCAGCCTCCCCCAAAGCACAGTCCCCAAGGTCCCCCTCATTTGAGTCTACTCCTCATTGTCCCTTGCTTCCCCAAGATCCAGGTGGACTCACCAGGGGTGGTGGGCAGGGTCTGTAGGCCAGTGGACAGCCTCCTAGTCAAGTTTACCGCTCTGCCTAGGGGTCAGGAGACCTGGCTCTGTCCAGGCTCTAATGAGGTGTCCAGGATCCCAGGCTAGCTGCTTCTTCCCTGGCCCTGGAGTCTTTTATCTGTGCACCTCGGCTGCAGCCTTTAAGTGCTGAACTGGGTGCCCTCACCTCCCACCCCCATCCAGTGAGTAAAAGCGCCTACCTGTCCCGTGGTGTGGCCTGGCCGCTGCTGCACTCCAGATCAAACTGTGCTCAGCCCAGGTAAGTTACAAGGGGAGGCGCCAGCCAGCAAACCTCAGGACCCGCCTTAAGAACAGCCCGCCCTCCACCCGGGCTTCTCTCCCCCCCCCCACCCCCGAGGCCCTACACGTGGCCTTGACAGCCCCTGTCCAGCCCCAGAGGTGTCCTAACCGCTCAGGTAGGGCAGGCGCAGGCTGGGAGGGGTGTGTGTGTGTGTGTGTGTGTGTGTGTGTGTGTGTGTGTGTTTTGCAGGGGGCGTTGAGTGGCACCCTAGCCTGACAGGCGCCGGTTAGGGTGTGTGTGAGTGTGTGTAGGGGCCCCAAGCGCCCAGCTTGGCCCGTCCCTTGTACCACATGATCAGGAGGATGCCTAGGCCAAGGTGTGCTACGGGCCTCTGCAGGAAGGAGAAAACAGGAGATGGTAGAGGCAGGGAGGAGAAGGGAAAGCTTGCATCTTGGTAAAGGACAGTAGTGGGGAGGAGACCCTTCCTGGGACCTTCCAATGGATCTGGACGCCTCTGTGAGGCCTACATGTTGTCTTGTCTTCCTTCTGTCCAGCCTGGGAATGGGGCTTCTGATGCCAGGGAAGAAGCTGGAAGGCTGTAGAGGTCTTGGTCAAGGTCTTGTTGCGAGGGTGGCAGAGCCCCATACAAGCAGGTCGGTGTGAAATGTTTTCAGCCTAGAGACACACAGTGACCCCAACAAGCTGATCTTGAGAGTGGGTTGCCCAGCATCCCGATGAGGCTCAGCAATCTACTTCCAGAATTGTCTTTCAATGCCCTGTGGTTATTGAAAGACAATTCAGCGTGCCTGCCACAGGAGGAAGCTGGACAAAGTGGCACAGGGCTCCTCTTCTTGAGAGTAGCATTGAAAGGGGTCCTCAGGTATCCATGTGAGCTGGAGAGATGGCTCAGCGGTTAAGAGCGCTGCCTGCTCTTCCTAGAGGTCCTGAGTTCAATTCCCAGCAAACACATGGTGGCTCACAACCTGAATGGTGAGATCTGGTGCCCTCTGCTGGCCTGCAGGCGTACATGCAGGCAGAACACTGTGTAAACAATAATAAATAAAAAGTATTTTATAAAAAAGTATCCATAAGATCCAACAGATGCGGTGAATAAAGAAACTGGCTAGCTTACCGATCAAGGGTGGGAGGAGGAAAGATTGCTGAGTTTCTTGGGGTGGGCTGCATGGAGGAGAAACGGCCCTGCAGCTGTAGCTCAGTTGGCACATGGCTTGCCCACCATGTAGGAAGCCCTGGATTGATTTTGTCTGTCTGTCTGTTCTATCTATCTATCTATCTATCTATCTATCTATCTATCTATCTATCT